AGATAGATAGATAGATAGATAGATAGATAGATAGATAGATAGATAGATTAGATTAGATTAGATTAGATTAGATTAGATTAGATTAGATAGATAATGTAAATACTACTGAACATTTCGGAATATTTTTGTACAGCAAAACTTCAAAATGTTTTGCAACATTTTGTTCTTAGTGTGAGCCACCCACTATACTTTTGGAGTTGGACGGTATCTAAATGGAATAAATAAAAAATATTATGCAACTAATATAGGTAATCCTTGACTTTAGTTTGAGGATTTACTTCATTTAGTGACCATTCGTAGTTAACAATGGCACTAAAAATAGTGACTTATAACTGTTTTCACTCTTATGACAAGTGCAGTTTCCCCATAGCCATATGATCAAAATTCAGACACTTGACAACCAACATATTTATGATAGTTGTAGTGTCCTGGGGTCATGTGATTGCTGTTTGCTACCTTCTGATAAGCACAGTCAATTGACAAGTCAGATTCATTTAACCACCATGTTTACTATCTTAGCAACTGCAATGTTTCACTTAACAACTGTGGCAAGAAAAGTTGTCAAATGGGGCAAAACACAATTAACAAATGTGTCACTTAACAACAGAAATTTTGGGCTCAATTGGGGTTGTAATTATGGAATGCATTAAAAGGAAAATGGAATCTTTCCACTATAGCCTTGTGAGAGGTAAAATTCTTGTTTCTTTAATCTTTCTATAGACTATATTTATATTTCATTCAAAACATATAGTTAAGACATCTGGAAGTACCTGAGGCTCCTGTGCCAAAGCATTTCCAAAGTTTGGAAAAATCATAAGTCAAATGCTATATTGCTAACAAATCTTATGGGAATCACTTTCCTCCTTTTAAGCAGCTTGTTTTCCAGGGTTGTTACATAATGACATGGTCTGAATGGAGGTGTGTCACTGTGATACAGATAGGATAAAATTAAAATTTGAGACTATCCATATGGTTTAAAAATATTATAAAATGAAAACAAATAAAAATACTTTTGTGAAAGTTACTTTTCTTTTTTATGCACTTTGGTACAAAGTGTCTGGTTGATTTAAATTGTAGGTGGTCAGTTGGTAATTGATTCTATTTTACAATTTTATTTTCATATATATAATTTTATATAAAACTATAGATCTTTATCTTCTGACTCCAGTTTAAAATATTCTTATAATGAATTGACATCAACATTTATATAATTGTTATTGTTTCTTTTTAGTGGGCAGAAATGGTTCCGGAAAAAGCAACTTTTTCTATGGTAAGAAAAAGCTTCCAAATTTGCACTAAATGATACTCCAATTTGTATTAAAGATATGCAGATAATATTGTGCATGACAGCTATATACATTTTTTTTTAAAGCAGCACAATATCTTAGACAAATTTTGTAGTATGAATACATCTATATAAAGGCTAAGTACTTTTACATAATCTGTAATACCTTCTATAATACTGTATAAAATAAATGTTTAGGAAGTTCAGTATTAAAATTCATACTACAAATTAAATTATTATATTTCTTTATTACAGCAATTCAGTTTGTCCTCAGTGATGAATTCAGTCATCTTCGTCCTGAGCAAAGGCTGGCTTTGTTGCATGTAAGCAAACAGCTGACTGATAATTACTAAAATAATTTGTTTTAATTGTATGTATTGAAACCATACATATATTGCAGTGTAAACTCCAGTGAATTGCCATGATTTAAAAATCCTTAATAAATTGAATCATTCCAGAGATCTCTCAATTAGAATTGAAGAAATACTTGTGTGAATTTATTTTGCTTTGTCCTGACTTTTGGGATGAATTATGTACGGTAATTATTAGGAAGAAAAAGGAGCCAAGGGATACATTCTGGAAAAATCTGTTGAGGTTTGGAGCCAAATGATGCTAGAGTGCCATTCCTCTTTCCTCCATATAAATCTTTCGATGTAATTGCTTATATATTTTTCTAATCACATCCCTTCTTTTTTACTTTTCCCCTTCTCTCACTATTTATATTAGTCTGGATTTTTTTTTTAACCCATATTTTCACTCCCTAATATTTTGGCTTTTCAAAACATATTCCCAATAGCAAAAATAGACTCTTTCCTCCTAAAATACTGCGAGAACTGGGACTGATATCGTAAAATATCTTAAGATTATTTTATAATGTAATTATTTTTAATTAGCATAATAGTTATACTAATTTAGTGAAGGAAAAATATAAAATTTAAGTCATTTGCATTATTTTTTTATTACACAGACAGTATTTCTATTTTCTAGGAAGAGTAGAATTTATACCTACATAAACTTTGAAGACTAGGATACCAAAACGTTGTATAAAATAAAATATTTTAAAAATTGGAAAACTTAAATATACATATATTTTAGGAAGGCACAGGACCTCGGGTTATCTCTGCTTTTGTGGAAATTATTTTTGACAACTCAGACAACAGATTACCAGTAAGTTAAATATTTTAATTTTTATTTTATAAATCCTCTTGGTTTTTTAAAATTTAAATTAAAAGGAAAATATCATTAATTATTTGACCAAAAATTATATCCAGGAAATTAATATTTGCATTCTATCTTATTTTAAGATTGATAAGGAAGAGGTATCTCTTCGCAGAGTCATTGGAGCTAAAAAAGACCAATATTTCTTAGACAAAAAAATGGTGACGTAAGTGGCAGTTTTATTTTATGAAAGCAATTTGATTTTTGCATGAAACTGTTCTATATAAAATTTTAAATTAGTATACAAAGTAACTATTTTGAATATTTTCATTTTTCATATTTATAGCAATAGCAGACTTATATACCCCTTCACAGTGTTTTACAATCCTCTCTAAGCGGTTTATAGAGTCAGTGTATTGCCCCCAAAAATCTGGGTCCTCATTTTACCGACCTCGGAAGGGTAGAAAGCTGAGTCAATCTTGAGCCAGTGAGAATTGAACTACTGGCAGTGGACAGAATTAGCCTGCAGTACTGCATTCTAACCACTGCACAACCATGGCTCATATTTATATTCATTACAAATCTCTTAATTTATCAAGTTCAATCTTTTTCAACGTCTACCTGTATGAAATTTTTAAAACATTTGGATTTAAATTGGTAATTTTAACTTTAAAATAAAATAAATTTTAAAATAAATTCTATATTTATGATATAGAAATATCTTTGCAGATAGTTAGTTATCCCTCTTCCTGCTGGCTCAGTATTTAGCTATTTAGAAAAACTGACTGCTGCAGTCTCGTGTTTCTTCTTTAATAAAAAATAAATATAAATATATATGAATAAATATTTTGGGCTGGTTTGAAAAAGCTTTGAAATACTGTATCTTGAACAGTAGTGGTGAGAATGTCACCATTAGAGCTACATTACTTCTATTCCTATTGGAATTAATAATAACAAAAGGCCATAGAGAAAAAAGGACTCTCACCCGTTATTGTTTTCCATTTGATTATTGTGTTCTGGCTACTCATTCCCCTACTATAGATCTGAAGTAGGAATTGAATTTAAGTTTTGATTTAAATTTTATAACAATATTCTACTTGGTGATACTGGAAAAAAACTGAATAATGCAATTTCAAAAATAACAAATATTAAGCAAAGTATTTTTATGAATTAATAGAAGGACATTGGTTATTTAAATGCTTTTATGCTACTTTTATGCTACAATATTTATAAAATTGATTTAAAATTTACTTCTAGGAAAAATGATGTCATGAACCTCCTTGAAAGTGCTGGATTTTCTCGCAGCAATCCCTATTATATTGTTAAGCAAGGAAAGGTATGACAATATCTACTAACTTATTTTTCAAAAAGAAAAGTTCATAACTTTCAAAGCAAAACTTTCAAAATTGTACAAAACAGGTTTATCTTCCATGAAAATATCAATCAATCCATTAACAGTTTGAAATTAATAGAATAGCAGTTAGACTTATATGCCGCTTCATAGGGCTTTCAGCCCTCTCTAAGCGGTTTACAGAGTCAGCATATTGCCCCCAACAACAATCCGGGT